GCTTTTTTTTTTTTAATGTAAACACCTATTCAAAGTACCAAGGTCACAAGGTACATGAAAAGCAGCAAACAGCAGATTTGAACAAGAAGCTGAAAACAGCTATTAAGATTAAGGCTAGCTAGGATATTACTGAAGGGATGGTAAAATAAAAGCAAACAATAAAAATATTGTAACTATGATTCTAAAGTTTACTTTTCTTTTAAAATTTAGAGTTTACAGTTTCCATTGGCTATTCATGTAGTAGAAGGCTCTTATTAAGTAAGCAAAACTCAACTAAAATAAAAAAACAAAGATGTAAACATTACTGAAAAATAAATTAAAAGGCTATGTAATTTGCGTAACATTACATTATCTACCAGATCTGAATGTTCTAACAGAGGTCTGCTGCTTTATGAGGCTGAGTAATGACCATTTTACATTCTTGGACTATTAAAGGTAAGTTATTGATATGTCTTCTAGATGTCTGTTTCAGAAAATGTCACTAAAGATTATCTACTACAGCACCGTGCCACTAAGCATTTTTGTATTATTTGTTAAAATTTGTTTAATTCACAGTTCAATAAACATAAGCAAGAAGGTCCCAACTGGCTTATAAGTTAAATAGATATGCTGAAGTCTAAATTCAAAGGGATTTATCTTTTTAAATAAGGGCAAAAAAGAAATTTTTTTTCTTTGCCCCAAAAAACTATTAGGAAAAAACAGGGAAATCTGTCCACTTCTGTCTGTGCAATTTCTTTAAAGTGTGTGCCTTTGTTGACTAATATCATAACCTCTGGAAGCCTTATCTAGGCCATCATAAACTAGAGCCATAGAAATAAACTTGTTAAAGTCAAGTAGCTTTGGGAGTGGATTTAAGGACTTTACAACAAATTAAATTCATATTTTCTTCCTTACAACAAGTGCACAGGGATGCATGTAAAGCAACATTTAGATATCATTTTCAATAACAGAAATTCATTATATAGTTACAGTACAAAGAGATGAAGAAAAGTTGAAGTAATGTAGAAAAACTGTCATATGTGGTATTGGGAGTTGTTTTTTCTCACAGATCAGTAAGGTTTGAAGTATCTACTTGAAGAAACACACTGAGAATAGGTTTTCGTATTACTGATGATTTCAGATGACAAATTAGTTTTTTCCTTCAATATTGTGAAAGGTCAAAATTGAAGTACATCATAAATGCAACTTGAGTATTCTTCAGCAGAGAAGACACAGAGCAACAGAAATATACTTGCAACAATGATTACATAAACTACAAGATCCAAAGCTTATCTTCAGAAGGTTCCCTAACAGAAGTCTATTCAAAATTCTCATTTTGAACTACAGGTAACAACTAAGCAAGAACCATGTATTAGCAATTAAAGCACACATGCTTAACATAAAAACATACATGAGATGATATGTGCTTATAGAACCATCTTGCTCAATTTAAGAAAAGCAATTAGATGACTACTTGCACCCTACTCCATATCTTCAGAGACTTAATATTTTGATAAGTTATGAATCAAAGAAACATTGTGAACTGTTACTATGTAAGCAAACAAACAGCTATTTAAAAAGATGAAATCTTGCCTTTTGCAACATGGATAGAACTTAATGTGATTATGCTAACTGAAGTAATTCAGAAAGTGAAAAACAATTATGAGATGTTTTCTCTCATACTGGTAATATAAATAACCAAAGAGAACTAACAGATCACAACAGAAATAACCCGTAGGTTCTATGAAAATACAGTGACTATTAGAGGGAGAAATGACATGAGAAGAAAGTAGTGAGAGTCAATCTGATAGTGGGAATCACACTGTAGTTTTAGTGGTAGCAGAGGTGAGATCTTATATATCAATACATAACTGAGGTGTAAAGTTATACTCCAAAAACTTATACAGTATTGTAAGTCAGTGTTAGATCAATGAAATTTTGTTAAAAAGAAACAGACAAATGAAATAAATAAAGAGAAAAAAACATGGGAGGCTAGGAGAGCCATATTTACTAGCAGCTACAACTCTTAGTTATACAAGATGTAAAACAATTATGGTGTGGAGGGTAAAAGAAAATGCATATTGAACAGTTACATTATACTTTCTCTCTTAACTTTATTTTACTTCCAAGTAATATATAATCTCATTCTTTCCCAATACCAACTTATTAGTAAAATAAAGTGAAAAAGGTAATAAGCAAATAAGACAAAAATATTTATGACCATAAAACTATTAAAATATAGCACTTATGTACACATAATAGATCTTCTGCCACATCCTCTTCTGTCTTATTTACAGAAATAAAGTGATATGAACTGCAAGGAAGAAAAGTGAATGGAAGGAAAAGAAGGGAGTAAAATAGCATCTAGCTGAAAATTTCTCTGTATAAAATTGTGACAAAAGGCCTGGAAAACAAACTTAATGCGACATTTTAAAATTTGTCTAATATTGATATTTCCCCCATAAATTATTATGCTTTTTACATACTTTTTAATACAGTTATCTTTTGTATTTGCCAGTACAAGCTTTTTTAAAAAATGAAACCCTATTTAGTCAATATTGAATCAATTCAAAGACTGAAAAGAAATAATTTTCATAGACTGTATAATGTTAGCACCCACTCCTCAATTAAATGTTACATAATTTGCAGAATTCATAAAATGAATAACTAAAAAATATTACAAGAATAAATTAGCTACCAGTCCAGGAGAGACCACAGTAAGTGTAGCATTGATTTTTGTACTTTACACTATTAACTTTGTGAACTTCACAAAAAATAAAAAAGCAATTGTATTTTCCCTGGCATCTTTGAAACATGGTAATCATAATTTTAGTTATTAAGATTACTGGATTCTGAGGAACAAAAATAAACTGCCCATTTTCATTAACTATAGCAATGAGGAAGATAAATCATTGAAAGAAATGAGAATGATTAACTAGCCTCTTCTGTGAAATCAAGCTAAGAAAATAGAAATATTTACATTGGGAAAATTACAAAGTCATTTCATGCAAACATAAACTAAAACACATAATTTCCCATCTGGTGTATTAAAAATAATCATTATAACAGTGCAAGCTTTTATATGGAATACCAAAATGCTAATTTTTAAGATTCCATAAATAGGTACACCTGTTACTAGAGTGACCAAAAAAATCTAAGGACAAAGGAAATACAAGCAGCCTTTGCAAGAGTATTCATCCCTACTACACCTGTTTCAGAAATAATTTAAGTGGTTTTGGCTTCAAAGAGCAATTATTCTGCATCTTGAATCTGCTAAAAACGTAATTTCTTCGCTCAACTGACCTCAACTAAATTGTGTGGCAACACCTAACCAAGTTATCACCATTTAGATGACTTTAGAAAGACCCCTTTCTTTATTTGGATTGCATATTGTTAAATTTTATGACCTTACCGAAAATGTTTTAATATCTCTACATAACCCTGCCTAAAATTTTGTCTAAATCATACTCTCTCTATATAGTTTATATTAATACCCCAAAGTGTTCAGGGTCATCTTAGCATGTAAATTGTTTTACTTCATATCTACAATTTTGCAATTAGTTGGCCAGTCAGATACTAATCAAATGACTTCTTTACAATTGAAATTTTATTCCACATTGCTGAAATAGCAATGAACTCTTCAACTATTCCAATTAACACAGAAGCACCATACCTACCCACATTGCACACATTACTAGCTTATCTCTAACCCTCAACCCTGTGTTCATTTTTTTTCCTTTACAAGACTGCCAACTTTAACAATAGATTAAGATACATAATATCAAGACACAATGGTGAGTATTCGCCGTATATTCCGAATCATAGACGATATATTAGGCTAATTCCTTTACAAAATTTTGGCAGTTATGAATCACAGCCCCAACCCATAAAGCTTGCGGCTGTCCTTGGTGCTGAAATGCATTCCCCTTCTCCCCCACCCCCCCTTTACTTGAAAAAAAATTGACAGTCTAATCTCATTTTGTAAGGACAAAAGCTTATAAATTTGGGGGGGAGGGGTCTGAAGATGGAAGGTGAAGAAACTGATAAGTTTGTGAGAAAGAATGCTAACTAGTTTGTGCATGGGGAAAGGATTGTGATGAGGGAGGGTGACTGTGGATTGTGCTAGAACCTTACAGAGGGTATTTCCCTTTCAGAGCCCCAAGACCCAGGAAACCCGGACTGCGGCAAAGATCGCAAGCGCCTCTACCCGGGCAGGAGCCGCGGGCGGGAAGGGCGCCCTCCCCGGGGCAGCTCCTCTGTTGGCACAAGAAGGCTAAGGAAGCGAGCCGCCCCGATGCCGCGCGCGGTCCAAGGCGAATTTCCGCGCCAAAGCGTGAGCCTCGGTGGTCTTCTGCTTTTGGAGCCTGAAGGATGGGCATCGAGGAGCCCCCAAAGAGGATGTTCACCGAAAGGAAGGGGGAACAACAAAAGACCCTGCCACCGGGGAGGGGGGTGTGCGCTGAGTCCGAGCGGCCGCGGCGCCTAGGCGCGGGCTCGGACCCTTTCCTCAGGGTTCTGGACGCACTTACCGTCCCGGTCGCACAGCTGAATGGCCTCTAGGCTGAGGTTTTTGATCACCTCTTCACAGGGGCTGGTGGGGCTGTTGAGGGTATGATCCAGGCGCGGCACCTCCATTTTCCAAGCCCCTTCTCGGTTTAACCCGCCTGCTTCGTATCCAGGCTCCCTCCTTAAACCCGATGGGAGAGAAGGGCAGGAAAGGTAAGGGAAAGGGAGCAAGGCTGGGATGCAGCGCTGAGTGACTGAGGCTGAGCGTTCGGCTGGAGAGCTTCGGCCCAGACGACCGCCGTGGCAGGAGCTCCGGTGAGTGTGCGTCTGTGAGACACCAAGCAGTAACCCGTGCGAGGGCGGGAGGCGCGCGCTCTCGGCGGGTTGGGAGCGCGGCGCGCGGCGAACGTGAGGAAGAAGGCGCGGCGCGCGCACGCGCGCAAGAGGACGCGCCCACCTGCTGGCGAGAGGCGCTCCTCCCCGCCCCTCCCCCCGCGCGCACGCGCCCCCGGCTGCCCTCGCGAGGCTGCCCTCGCAACTCCGCGCGTGAGGCGTCGGACCCGAGCGCGCGTGAACCGCGTGAGCTGAGGGTACCGAGCTCGCGCCCTCCCCTTCCTCCTGGTGAGATTTGGCGTTCTTTTCCTCCCCCAGTGTGTCTGACGGAGCCCAGGTTGGCACTTTGGCTTCAGCACGGGTAGGTGAGGGTGAGCAGATTGGTTGTTTAGCAAAAAATTGTAAAAATAAGGTTCAGACCCTTTGTATGGGGTTGTAAGAGCCAGCGGCTACCTTCGTCCCTTCAAGGTTCCGGACTGCTCGCCGCCTGTACCCCGCTTGTTGGGCTGGACGGTCCTCGGAAACAGCTGAGTCTGTTTAAGAAATGAGCAGATTAAGTGAGGAGTGGCGGGATTTAGGGATAGAATATTGGCCATTCCGAAAGATGGGCAATTAAGAACTGCCAGGAAGGTAACGGGCTGAAGAGATGCAAGCCAGCCTCGGCTGTGCATCGGGCAGACAAGCCATTTTACCTCTCAACCTTTGCAGTCTGGCTTCTCAATTCATTCAACAAATAAGAGTTAGGTGTTTACTCTGCCAGGCATTGTTCTGGAAGCCACCGAGGGTGGGACAGACAAAGCCTGCCCTCCTGGATATGAAAGGGGCCGCTTCTGCAATGGTTGATGAAGATTGTGCTTTTCAGGTTACCCTAAATTTGCGTGCCCTTTGCTTTTAATGACAGTTAAAATTCTTCAGTGCATTAGTGGAGGTACATATTTTTACAATAAAATAGACAGGTCGACAGGTCTATTTATTGACCTCTTTGCGCTCTTTGCATCTTTGGAATAGCTTTAGTGTGGTTGCTGTCTCAATCAAAAATAGTGCCGACCCCCTCTGGTTTTTTAATGTATATACTTATTTGAAATTAAATTCCTTTTCATTGATTTTCCAGTTACAGACATAAATGTTAACCAATAAAGTAACAATTTACATATGGATTGCTATATGCTACCCTTTCTAGTCACATTTATGTAGCCATAAATGGCTAAACCTGGTTAATTGAAACCAAATAAAACAAGGCCTAGCTGAAGGTAAAATTATCCTTTGAGAAAACCTGGAACAACTGCAAGTTGATAAAAATCTATGGAAGATAATTGGGTATCTTAAAGTGAAACACGCTTATTATAAACTTAAGTATTAATGAAGAAGGATCTTGTAGTTTGAAGGAATTCTTGTGTCAACGTAGAATTCCCTCAAGAGAGGATAAATTACTGCTTGTCAAAAAATATGACCAGGTGGCACTTATTGGTGAATTTCCTGGATTCCAAAGGCTAGCTCTGGAGGGCCAGAAATTGATGTCATCATTTTAACCACAGTGAGTTAATCTTTCAGCCACCACATATTGACAGATTTGTAAATTGGATTACCAATTTATTGCTTTATAAGTGAGGAATTATAACTCATGCATATAGATAAAACTATAGCTCATGCAAATATTTTATTAAGCATCTGCTACTTTTAGGAAAATATGCTGGATATGGGATATTCTGAGTTCAAATCTGTTAGTAAAGGTAGACATTAAAAAAGTGAAGGAATGATGGGTCACATCGGTGATTTGGTGATGGGTGATTTGGGGATTGCAACTGAGATGGAAAAATGCACAAAAATATGTAAAAATAAACTTATAAAATTTAAAAAAGTAAAGGAATGATGGGTATTATAAACAAGTAAGTGAAAGCTTGTGGAAGTGCACACAGTGGTCTTTATTTAGTCTGGTTAATCAGGGAATTTTCTAAAGATTTGGTCTTAAGGGAATGGGAATTATTAAAAGATTTTAGATAGAAAATTAACAAAAACAAATTTACAGAACAGTATATATGTGTAATTGGAAAAGGAAGTAATGTTTTAAGAAATATTAATGGGACTTTCTAGATACTAAACCTATTCAATCCAAGGTACCTTTTTAATGAGGCTCTGGATTATTACATAGAAAATACAAAATAAAAAGTCAATATTTGACAATATACAATATATTTTGAGAGTTGTTAGGCAAATCAGTCATTGTGGAGTTGATAAAAAATAACACTTTTTAATAGCTTATAACATCAATGATAGGCCAAAATGATAGTGTTTCTCACATTGTAAATTCAGTATTTTCCAGTCCACCACAAAGACTAATGACAAATACTGGTATGAGAAAGATGGTGGCAACAAAGAAGATAAAGTAGAACAGTCCTTTCTTGTTTAGCTCAGCGAACTATGAAAAAGTGGTAGAAGTGCTTGAGAAAGAGAATCAACAGTATTTTTACTCACTCACCTTAAGGATGTAGGGTGAGAGGTTTTGACTTTAGAGCTCTCCAGATAGGTATGGGAAAACTCAAGAGTAGAGGAACCTTTGCCTTGATTTCCAGATTTCTACTGGCCATATTGAGGGGGAACAATTCAGGCAACCAAGTTAGGTGTGTGTGTGGGGGGGCAGCATTTTACTTTCTAGAACTGCTGATAGTTTCTATGTACGTAGTTACCTGAGTTGAGAGCTACTTAACCTCCTGTGAGACTTGATGTTAGAAGAGCAACGTTATACTCCAGTGAAAGACTGCAGGATGTACCTTCTAAACCAGGGATGTTCAGAGAACAAAGATGAGACCCTTTGGTAGAGATGCCTACCAGGCCTAAATCAAATTAAGAAAGCAAAGAGCTTGAGTTTTGCCAGTCAACTTCAAATGAAAGCATAGAATTAACTGCACATGCAAAGAATATCACCAGATACCAAAGGAGGTAAAAATGTAATAACCCTTTGTCTCATGCCTGAAGGTAATAGAAAACTTTCTACTGATACCCTCTAAAATAATTGTAGGGCAAAAGGTGGAATCTGAAAGACTGAGGGTCTTATCAAAAGAAACTGAACTTTATCTAAAAGAACAGATTGAAATACTGATGAACCTAGATTCCTTGAGTAGGAATTTAAAAAAGCATGATTCTACTTCCCCTCTTTATTAATGAATGAAATTTCATGAAGATGACCCAGTCACCTTTAGATAAAATAAAAATGCTATCTTTTCTTTCCATACCTAACCTATAATATGTGTAAGCAAATCCATATATATTACATCATTTAATTGTTAGCTTGAGGTTCCACTATAACAGTCAGAATCCTACCATTTATTCAAACTCCAACTCAAATGCTACATTCTCTATAAATATTATTTCCTCCAATAAAAATCTTTTTATTCCCATGAAGTTTAATTTATAGTCATTCACAAATCTGAGAACATTGTTATGAATAATCCTGAAGAACAGTACTCAAATTTGAAGAGACTTGTATCCTAATTCAATTCCTTATCTAATAAATAACTAATTAAATAGTAAAATAAAATCATGAAGTAAAACCATGAAGTAAACCAAAATCATGTTCTGAACCCAAACATGTCTCCAATAAGACCAATACCAAAGCCTTAATTTTTCCCTGTGTTGGTATTCAGTAATGATAAACCTTCCTTCTGTTTACATATATTCACTTCTCAGACTTAATATACTTTTAAATCTTACCTCTTTCAAACATTGCTGGTACAACATTCTTTTCAGTCAATCACACTGTAAATTCTTCTCAGGATTTCTCTAGGAGGCCATAGGTTAACATGTTCAATACTGGAATATAATAATATAAAGGAAAAAGCAGTGACCTATCACCATCTTTGTTCTAAATGCCAGACATCTTGCAACACACCCCAGTGGAATTTGTTTTTCTGACAGTGATAGCACTCTTGCAGTCATTTGAAAACCTATCTCTATTCTCTGAACATTTATTTTGCCTGTGATGTAAATTTTAAACACACATCATAATATTTGCATAGAGAACGTACCGCAGTACAGTTTGTTGAATTATTTGATTTAACTTCAGAACTTTGAATGTATTTAATTATATTGCTGCAACTAGCCTACAATTTTATCAAACCCAAAGAAAAAGTAAGTTACAAAGTCCTTTAAGTTTGTTAAGTACAGAGGTTATTCTTAGATGAACCGCAGTTGTAGGCACAACCCAGTTTTTTATGACTAGGCTGAGGACAAAGTAAAAACTTAAAACACAGGTAGAAAATTTTTTTTAGAAAATGCTCAGTATCAGTACATGTTGGTATTTTTTTATTCCTCTTATGACTTTTGATTAATTCCTTATTATAAATAGTAGAAAAATAACTCATCATTATCAAATTTAAAAATAAGTCAGATTTTCTAAATTCATTATCCTGACTAAAATTAAATACTGTCTAGACTTGTGAAGATCAAATAGGATAATACACCTGAAAATGTATCCTCACCAGGTTAGGTTATTATGGGATACTAAGGATACCATTAAGAAAGTATAGGGACAAATTTATAGAGTTCTATAAATAATCTAATAATTACTTTAAATGTTTTTTTGTTTTTACATAATTCATTTTGTACAATATTTGATTTCTCCTCTCAGATCTAGTTCCCATACAGTTCTTACCACCAATTTATCCATGAACTGTCACCATAGTCTTTTGTGCTCTTTCAGCCCCCAGTTTTGATACCTCTCTCTCCCCTTTCCCTTTAGAATGTCTCTGATTTATAGTTGCCTACTAGTTTTTTTTAAATTTATTATCTACCTCCCTGCCCTCCCCCCCCGCCCTCCTATAAGTGAAGCCGTCCAACTCACACCATTCACAGCAACATCAATGGAGCTAGAAAAGATTATGCTCAGTGAAATAAGTCAGAAGGAAAACAAAAAATAAATATTAAGAACTTTCATATTTATAATCCTATGGTTTAGTAAATTTGGACTCTTAAGAATTACATCAGATTATGTTTGCTTTAGATTTTATTTCACAATAGATTTGCCAAATCCAAAAGAAAATACTCAGGATGAATCCCTTCTTATGAGACTGACACGCTGCCTACTGCACTAAGGAGGCAGATCTTGAATCCCTTCTTAATAATCGATTTCTTCAGTCCTAAATACTTCACTAAATACTGTCAAAATTTAACATACTTAACAATTTTATGACTTATTGCAGAACTTTTCTCATTGAAAAGTTTCAGAAGATCATCCTTTTTTGTCTTTCCGGGGTAGGGGGAACTGAAATTTCTCATTTTTTCTTAGTTTTAGTTCAGTAGGTCATAGTAAAACGTACTACTTCTTCCCTCATCTGTGGTCTTCATTCAGTGCTTGAACACTGCAAG